GTGATAGAGTCTTATACCAATTCCAGCTTGGATAGAGTGCGCCAGGACGAGCACTGCGACCCGCAGCGGCAGCAAGCTCACACAACTGCCTGGCAGTGCTCGGAGCCAGGTTTCACCGTGCTCGCCAAAGCCCTCTCGCAGTCCATTCAGCTGCTATGGCAGCAACACCATGTGTCCACCCCGGCCCTTTCGCAAGACAGCGTCTAGTCAGGCAAAGAACCGTCCTAAGTATGGTGAGATGCTGCAACGTATTTTCACTTTCGAGCAGAGCGAGGCAGGTAAAGAACAGTCCTTAGTATGGTAAGATGCTGCAACATGTTCATCCCTTCGAGCAAAGCATGCGGGTCATACATGTGCAATGAGAAAGCCTCTGCAATCGACGTAGAGATTCCGAGCCTGAATAAGTCATCGAGCAGGCACCGGCGACGCCTCATTGCAATGCAAACTGACTCACGCAGGCAGTGATCATCGACAGCGATTCCCCTTGAAGCGTCCTGCTCGGCAATGCGCCTCGATATTCTGCTGCGCATCCGCAGCGACAGCGAGCCCACGCAACTGATCGCGAGTCCGCCTCCCGAGCTCGTCGCGCGGAGCCAGGCTTCGCCGTGCTCGGCACAGCCCTCTCGCAGCTCCTGCAGCTTTTGCTCCGACGCAGCAGCAGCATCGACCTGACAGCAAAAACTTCACGTGAAAGCACGAAACATCTAACCTGGCCACGACACTGACGCCTCACTGCAAGACAAATTGACACAAACAATGATCAACGACATCGATTCCCCATGAAGCCTCCTCCTCGACAATGCACTATGATAGAGCTTATACCAATTCCAGCTTGGACAGAGTGCGCCAGGACGAGCGCTGCGGCACGCCTGCAGCGGCAGCAAGCCCACACAACTGCCTGGTAGTTAGTCCCCGAAGCTCCGCACGAAGCCAGGTTTCACCGTGCTCGCCAAAGCCCTCTCGCAGGCCATTCAGCTGCTGTGGCGGCAACGCCATGGTACTATGTACTCCTACTATAGTACTACTATTATTATTACTACCATCTACTAATAAATACTACTATTACTACTATTACTTACAAAAACTACTACACCTTCATGCGCAGCAAAAGGGTTAACTTTACCTCGCGTTCGAACACTCGACAACGCCAATCTCTGTGAAGGGTTGCAAATTTCACTTCAATGCACATCAAAAGTAATAACTTTACCTCGCGTTCGTGCGTTCGACCACACCAATCCCTGTGAACGGTTGCAAAATTCATCTCAATGCACATCAAAAGTAGCAACTTTACCTAGCGTTCGTGCATTCGACCATGCCAATCCCTGTGAAGGGTTGCCAAATGCACCTCAATGCACCCAAACCCTGTGAAGGGTTGCGCGGCGCCCGCAAAATGTGTAAGTGGAGTGGAGTGGAGGGACGACCGAGACCCGAAGGCCTGGCCTGTTAGTTAGCAGTGGCATCACCTCCGGCCCGAAGGCTTAGGATCAAAGCACAACGAAAACCATGAAAAAACATAGGGTCTTAGGGCAGGCGAACCGGGTGGCCAACCGTGCACCCCAGGCGCAAACCGGATCCATCCCGACTCGAGTCTCCATCAGCTCATTGCAGCTCGCGTAACCGTGCACTCCAGGCACGAACCGGGATCCATCCCGACAGAGCTTCCATCAGCTCATTGTCACTTGCGTAACCGCGCAGCGCACTCCAGGCGCGAACCGGATCCATCCCGCCAGGGCTATCAGCTCATTGCCGATTGCGTGACCGCGCACACCAGGCGCGAACCGGGATCCATCCCGACAGAGCTTCCATCAGCTCATAGCCGGCGCCCGCAACATGTGTAACTTTACCTAGCGTTTGAGAGCCCGAGGAGGCGAATCCCTGTGAAGGGTTGCGCCGGCACCGCAAAATGCGTAACTTTACCTAGCGTTTGGGCGCTCGAGGAAGCGAATCCCTGCAAAAGGTTGCGCGGGAACCCTAAAATGTGTTACTTTACCTAGCGTTTGGGCGCTCGAGGAGGCGAATCCCTGCAAAGGGTTGCGCCGAGCGCCTAAAATGTGTTACTTTGCCCAGCGTTTGGGCGCTCGAGGAGGCGAATCCCTGCAAAAGGTTGCGCCGCGCACCTAAAATGTGTTACTTTACCTAGCGTTTGGGCGCTCGAGGAGGCGAATCCCTGTGAAGGGTTGCGCCGCGCGCCTAAAATGTGTAACTTTACCTAGCGTTTGGGCGCTCGTGGTGGCCGATCCCTGTGAAGGGTTGCATTCCCGATGGATGACGACGGTGCCACCCTTGGCTTTAGAAGAGAGATTAGATACCGAGATGTAGAGAGTAAGTCATAGAGGCATAGAGTCAAATTCAAGTTCATAGCATAGAGATAGCATAGAGTGAAGTAAGTAAGTAAGTAAGTAAGTAAGTAGAGTCAAGCAAGTAAGTAAGTAAGTAGGTAAGTAAGTAAGTAAGTAATCATAGAGTTCAAGTTCAGTAAGTAAGTAAGTAAGTAAGTAAGTAAACGTAAGTACAGAGTTCAAGTTCATAGCATAGAGATAGCATAGAGTGAAGGATCAAGTGTAGAGTCAAGTAAGGTATAGAGTCAAGTAAGTAAGTCAAGTAGGGTATAGAGTCAAGCAAGTAAGTAAGTAAGTATTTAAGGTATAGCGTCATAGAGTCAAGTATCAAGTGTAGAGTCAAGTAAGGTATAGTGTCAAGTAAGTAAGTCAAGTAAGGTATAGAGTCATGTAAGTCGATTCTATGTCTGTCATCTATGTACTCATCTACCCGGCTCCGCACGGAAGAACCCTTCGCGATGCTTTCGGGAACAGCGCACCCGCGCATCCGCAGCAAAAAAAACCATGTCCCCGCAAAGGCTCTTGCGCACTGTTTCTTTGCTCCGGGTGCGTGCCGAGTTCACGTTCACTCATGCACTTGCTGCCCGCCGCCCTGGAGCACCCAGCAACAAAGCGCCCGCAACAAACAAAATCAGGGGTTCCGAATACTTCGATCATATATCCGGACCTCCCTGTTACTGGCTTCTCTGGTTCGGCGAATGATCATTCGATGCATTCGCCAGCCACGGCAGGCTCGTTCGAAGACTATAGCCCAACACCCGACGCCCTGAACCTCAACCCGAACCTGAAACCCAAACCCTAAACCCTAAACCCCAAGCCCGACACCCTCACAAATCCTAAACCCGAACCCCGAAATCCGAAACCCTTAACCCGAACCTCAAGCTGCACCCTTGGGCCTTCGTGAGGAGATGCTGGATGGCTTCTGGGCTGGTCTCCCATTCCGCTAGGCTGTCTGGCTCCTGGGGGGTTCAAGGCTTAGGGGCTTGGGTTGGAGGTTGAGGGTTTAGGGTTGAGGGTTTAGGGTCCAGCAAGTCTGGCTCCTTTGAGAGGGTTTAGATGTCTGGGGGAAAAGGGTCTTTTTCCACTGCGTTATGTCTTAAGGATTCAAGCTCTGATGCTCAGGTTGAAGCAGCTTCGGTTTATCTAGGTACTGTGTGGGGTTGAGCTGAGGTTGGACAGTTTCAATCCACAATCTCGTGGCACCTGAGTGCCAATGCTGCTGCAGTGGATCTTTCAACTTGCTCAGCTCTGCAATTTAGGGTTCAAGGGCGACATACTTGCCGAATGCCATATCATCTACTGACCATGTAAGGCCCTGAAGCCTGAAACATGCGAGCTCGATACATTCCACACAAGGCTGCCATGCGACGGCCATCCACACTTCGCCACGAAGCCGTCAGTGTTGACCGTATAGAAATCCTCAAATTCTAATGCCCTAACCTACTGTCGAACCCGAAAGACATGAAGCAGCAAACTTCATAACCCCTGGCACCAGAGCACCCGCCAGAGCACCCCCCTGGGAAGGTCAAGCCTTAATTAAGATTAGGCCCCTCTGTAGGGACCCTAAATGGAACCTTAGAAGACTCCCTGAGAAACTTTACGACTAGAGGGACCGTTCCGATGCTGTACCTTTTAACTTTGTTCTACCTTTTATTCAAACTGATATCTGCGTTTGTCTCCATGGGTCGGGCCTTCTAACTTTCGGGTTTAGGTTTATGTCAGCATAAAGAAGACGTTTGAGGACCCCAACCCGGAGCGCCTCTTTCTCCCATGGCCGATAGACCCAAGCGAACCTGAGCCAACTCGATTTCAGTTTGGTGTTCGGGTCGTGCTTCGGATTTGGGGCATGAGGGAGAAAGCTGAAAACATGCCATATCATGGGTTATTCCTCAGCTTTCCTTGGTTATAACTATAGTATAACAAACCCTTGAGGCTCTATGCTGCTTGTTGATCTCCCAATCTGCAGGACCCTGGCGCGGATCCTCGTGCTTCGGAATGTGAACCCTGGACCTGGATCCTAACCCTAACCTAAAGCCCACCTCAACACCTATCTTGTAGGTTGTAGTGCCTGTAAAGCATACTTTCATGCTTGTCGCAACATGCAAAATTAGCAAAGCATGTTGGGGACCGAGTATGGTCCAAATCCTGCCTCTACCGTGATACGATCGTGGACTGGTTGGTCCGAGCCGCTGGAGTCTTGGCTAACGGCTTTGAGCTTTGGAGGCTCAGGCGGTCTGAGGCCCACAATTAGAGACCTCCCTCGCAGGACGACACGTACACCAAGAAAAAAAAATCTAAACACTGATACGGATCCGAAGAACTGGCAGCTAGCATACGACTCAGACCCACAACCCAGCCGTAAGTTCGTGAATATCGTAAAGTCGTAAATACACTAACGAACCGCGCTCTGCACCTTCTGTTCCAAACCATTGTTTTCGCGTCCGCATGTTCAGCCTGTCATTGGCAAGACCGTGTACCCAAGCCGCTTCTGCAAAGAACGATACACCGCCAGAACGTCTCCGTGGACGACGGACGGGAACGCTTCTTGGGTCTTGGCCTCACACTCAGGGCCGCTGCTATGGCCGTCAGCACCTTCGGGGTGTCGCTGCAGGTCTGCCCACTTGGCAGCCTCCAGCGCCTGCTCCATCTCATCGGTCGAGATCATGTCCCGACTAGACCGTCCAATATCTGCTTTACAGCCTTGTCAAAGGACTCAGAAGAAGACGTTGCAGTCTCGAAATGAAGGAAGACCATGCCATCGGCCGGGTCCTCGAATAAATCGGTCATGTTAACCACGTATTGCAGCATTCGCTCTGCCACAAAGGAGATGCCCTCTTGGGGGGACATGGTTTGGAGGGAAACTTCTGGCCATCCTGGAGGCATAAAGACCACATTTAAGTGTTCCTGACCACTGGCATGGTAGCAATAGGCGGAAACCGCCATAGAAACAGGGTCGCGAATGAGCCCTGCCACTCGCAGGCCCTTTCCCTTCTCTTTGGCACGAGCCCTCTGACGCTCCACAAGCTCGGGCGACGCCGTGTCAATTATGAACCGAATTGGCGCCTCGGTATTTCGGCACTCGTCGTAGCAGGGAGTGATGATCTCACCCATGTTGTCGTCCTGTGCCCCTAGCACACCTTGGAACAAGTAGATCCAAATCTTGTGCAAAAGGCTGACACCGGACTTATGATGAACAGCACCAACGAAATCGAAGACGTCCCATGGCTTCCCATCCACCAGCTTTCTCTTAGCTGAAGTCGCCTCAGCAAAGCGTGGTTGGGCCTTCCTCTGTACAAGATGCGTCGCACAAGCTTCCTCAGCATGGTCTGTTGAGGCAACCAGCAAAGCTGGCAGCCATAGCAGGGCAAGAAGCATGGATCCCTCGAGCGCTCGGAGGGGTTTCGAGCCTCGATGCTGGAACCAATACCAGGGCGTCTGGCTTCACGCAGATTTAGGGATTAGGGCCAGTTAAACCTGCACTACACTGAACTTTCCGGCTCTGCACGTTTGTTTGTGGTTCAGGACCAGTTTAGCGAACAGAACTGGAGGCTGGGTTTAGGTTGCTCAGCTTGGCTTCGGACAAAGGGGCCGTACCAAGGCTTCACGTGATGTAAGGGCCTTTAGTCAGTAAACCAAATAGGGCTTCGGGGGTCCATTATAGCATAATTGCAAAAACCAAACTACAAACATTATGACAGGAATAACAACAAGACTAGTAAGGAGCCCAAAGCAATAATACAGCCCAGTACTCAGCCCCCATCTACTGTTACCTATCCCGATCTGTGCAAGCGACCAAGGCCCTTGGAGAGAGACTTCACTTCTTCAAAGTTCGAAACCGTGTAGGATTTTTGTGAACGTGGTTGAGGGTCAGGGTTTTACGGTTGCTTGATGGTCATTGCGTAACTTGGCCATAAACCATCTCCAGCCTAAAACCTCGTAGCCTTGAACCTTTAATAACCTTCCCCCGAATCTTAAAACCTTTTGCCGTAACCCTCAGCCACAAATAACGTGCTTTCACAACGTGGACAATGAACCAGAGGCAAATAATCGAGCAGAACATCAAAGCTCAGATTGTAAGGCGCGCTTATCGTGCTTTAAGGATCCGCACTCACTCGGGATGGCTTTGAAACTCTAGGTTGCGCAGGGCTTATTTGGGATCATTTTCTGCGGCTTTTTCGGGTTGTGTTTGGCTTCAGTAGCCGTTTATTTGGTTAAGAAAACGTGCAAAAAAAGCAAGCTCTTGAAGAAGGCAACTTCCAGCCCATAATTACTTTCAAGAATCCCCCAACACCCCCACAACCTGGTTATGACAGCCCAAGCCACGGCGTTGCTGCAGGGGTCTCCGGCTGCTTTCGCGGCCCCCGGCCACGCAGCTGCAACTTTGGAGGGACAAGCCTTAGGTCCATCGTGAGCTTGTCAAAATCTTAAAGGCTTCGTGCTTGGGGAGTTAAGGTTGCATTTCGAAAGATCCTTACCTTTTCCGTCTCGCTAGGATCAGGGAAGTGTTTAGGGCTTCAAGAATCAATATCCTAAACATCTGAACTCCAAATGACCTTGGACCTTTTTAGCGTGAGGCGGTGGAATTTTACAGGAAAACAGCAGGGGAGCAGGGTTACTTAGGGCTTAAGGCGGCTTAAGGTAAAGGTGGACATTCTGTGCATGGGGGTTACATCTGGCTGTTTGGCGTTTCGGCACGGAACAAGGAGTACCTCTACCTACTGGAGCCTCCTCTTTGTGGGGTCCGAAGCAAAATCCCCGACTCAGAAGTTAGACGGGCCTTACGCAAGGAGGCAGGTTCTGGTAGGCCAAGGTCAGGCGGGATCCTTCATATGTTCAACAAGGTTTTGGGGTATATCATCCTATGGTTGTACTAGGGAACCAAGTTAGCGTTTGGGGTGTGGGAGATCGTAGTCAATTGCTTGACACGGTTGTGCGTTCCGTCAGGTCTGCTCTGATCCGTTAGGTTTTTGCACCTCTTGAGATCATTCAAGACATCAGCCCACAAAGAAGAACTAAGATCTAGTTTGAAAAACGACATTGCCTTAGAGCCATCTGCTGGTCGACAAAAGAGAGTACCACTGAAAAGCGTTCCAGGAGCACGGTGGGCACGCCGTGGTATGCCTGGCTTTGGATAGACAGTAGATACACGAAAACACTCCAGTCCAAAAACCTATACCTCGCCGACCCCTACCCCAAGTACCCAAGTACAAACCACCTCCTTAGACCCCAGTGGAGCATAGCAAAGTGCAGGCCGCAGGTCTCTGTTTCTCCGAGGCATTTTGCTTAGGGCTTAAAGCCCTTGGTTGAGTCGGTTTTAGACTCGCACACTCGCACAATCGCAGGCACGGCTTCTGGGGTTCATTGCTACCGTTACTACTGCGATGTAGTCAAGACTGTCGTATCCGGAACAGGGAAACAGAAGTCCCGTAAGAAATACAAGTATTCTTTTTGTCAGGTGAAACACTGCGTGTCGGTGGGGCGCAATGCAGGCTGCTATGTGGGGCAGCTCCAGCAAACATCAATGCTGCCAAGAGTTTGGTCTTCGGTGTTAAAGTTGTTCCACCACCCCAAGTAGGCTCACCCGACCCCCCTGCAACGATCCGCAGTTCAACTCTGGCAAGAACTGCCTGAACCACTTGCCAAAATCTAACACCCGTTTTGAATTGGATGGCCGGGGTGGAACAAAAAACGACACAAGACTCACAAGACGCACCCGGTGCAAAATGGTGCGAACAAGTGAGGATGGCGCCGCGTTGTTTCTCTGAGTAGCTCGGCAACGCCAAAAAGTTCGAAGCATGCACGAATCTTGCCTGCTCTGAAGCTCATACCTGATCTGGGTCCTGCACTCTCATGCCATATAGGGGCCGTCATAGCTTGAATGGGGTTTTGGTGTGGATCAGACTACGATTATAATAGCAGATCTGCCGGCCAGATTCAATCGATCTGCAAAAATCCGGGCACCAGCTTGGTGCCGACGGCGAGGAAGGGAAAACTGAAATCATGTGCCTTGTTTGAGATGTAGGAACGTGCCCACTGGAGTCTGGCTATTGCTCTGCGCAGATTGAGCCGACCAAGAATGCGAGCACACCGTCATCTTGAAATCTGCTGTGAGGCAATCCTGTTGATGGACAAAATCCTGCATTACCCATTATAAGGAATATGCCATAATTCCCATGTTTAGAATCCTAACGGTCATGCAGGATTTTGTCCATCAACAGTCTGGCAGGCCAGAGGTGGCCACTAAATGCACGTACTGCTTAGAACAAAGTAGCAGATTCTCGAGATCGGCCATGATGCAAGCTCACCCCATGTGGCCTGAACAGGTTGTAGCCAGCAGCCCTAAATCAATCCGCAATTAAACCCTACAGCGCCCTATAACAAGGTAGTCGGTCCGATCTCGGTCTGCGTTGCAGGGGTTCCCCTGGCACCGCAACTGATTCCAATGCAGTGCACACAGCAGACACCGCATTGAAGGAACAGCGATTGTGTGGGAAAAATAATCCACATAATGACTACCTTAAGGCTCCATAGTAGTTCCTTTATGGGGTTCATATATATTTAGAATCCTATAAGGTATGCCCCAAAAGGAACTACTGTGGAGCCTCTGGGTAATTAATGACTATTGTCACTGGGAACTTTGCTCTTCGGGGTCAGGGCGCTTGTGAACAGTCCATGCTTCATCACGCCCACGTGACAGCTTGATATCAGACAAAAGTTGGAGCAATCGCTGTCGCTTGGCCTACTTCGAGAGCCCTGAACACCAAACCCAAATCCCATGTAAAAGCCGCAGCACCTGTATAAGGCAATCTCGGTTTAGGGTTCAGGGTTAGGGTTCAGGGTCTGGGGTTTCCGCGCTCAGAACCTAAACAGCCAAGCGCCAGTCTGCACTTCTTGGAGAAGTGCTAACAGCTTTTCCTCACTGCCATCCAGACCCATCTCCACGACGTTCGTCCGCATGGCCAGAGTAGGTGCAGGGATCTCTGAATCTCGTCGTCTTTCGGTCTCTTCCCCAAGCCTCCAGGGAAGCTGCCGGGCCCGACGCCGGCTGCCGGGCGCAGGGGACGTGCCCGCACTTTCTTCCCTCACGAACCTGGTAGCTTCCGCCATGACCTCGTGTGGAAGAGATGCATAGACCCCCATGATCTCCTGTCTGTCCTGGAGCTGGTAGCCGTCTCTGAAGATAAGTGGAGCATCCTTTTCCCAAAGACCCTGATGGCCAAAACGTGCCAGGAAGTAGGCCAGATTCCAGTCAAACCCTTGGATGTTTCCAGAGCTGACGACGGTATCCCAGATACCATCCCTGTTCTGCCTCACGATGATGTTGTAGACTTTTTTGGCGGCGGAGTGATCCAAAAAGTTGATGTTTAGATTTTTCTGTTTGTTGATTTCAAAAGTTCCAAAAAATCTAAGAATTCTAAAAACACCGGCCTTGTGGGGACGCCGGTAGAAACTTTGAAAATTCAATAAATGGTCTCCTTGCGGCCTTCCTTTTTCATACGTTTAGAATTTCTGCTTCCTTAAAATTTTAAAAATCCCAAATATTCCAACTTTTGGTAAAATCAAATCTTCCTGGTGCCTATGTTTTAGGTCTTTAGACGTTTAAAAATTTTTATAATTTCAAAAAATTCTAAGTCCTGGGGTCCCTCTGCGCCTCTGTCAGGCCTTCACGTTTGATTTTTTGGAATTTTCTGCTTTTAAAGAACGAAGGCCTTTTTGGGGGCGCCTGTATCTTCGAAATTTTTAAAGAATATATAAATCCAAAAAATTTGAATGAAAATTTCAAAACATGGTCTCCTTGCGGCCTTCATTCGAGTTCCCACCCAACCTTCAAACAAGGAAGCTTGGTTCTCCCCTCACAACCTTGAAAAAAACAGAACTCCTCCACCTCATACTTTTAAAACAAGAAGTTCTCCACCTAACCATCGAAAACAGGAAGAAAGCTCAATCCAATATTGAAAAAAAAGAAGAGGGCTGCTCCTGTACCTCTTGGTAGAGGACGAGATGCCCTGGCACGTCTTCTACCCCAACAACTCAGAAGAGAGGCCCTTCTAACTTCTCGAGAAGAAATTGCTTACCTCTCTGTCGACAAGAAGAGACTCCTTAATCTTTTAGCCAGGGGCGAGAACTCCAACCATCTCCTCCTCCTCCTCCTCCTCCTCTTCAATACATGGAAGAGATCTTACGATCAAAAAGAAAGGATGGAGCTCTTCCAAAGTTCAAGCCTTGACAAGAGAAGTCTGGTCCTCCCTGCGGCCTTCAAAGGGAAAAGACAAGCCCTCTACCTCAGCTTCTGAAACAAGTAGAAAACTCAATCCAAGTTACTGTTGGTAACTCTTGGTAAGAGAAGACAGCTTCTTTCCAGAAGAGAGCTCGTT